AGCTTATTACAATAATAACTTATTACTACATACATTTGAACAACGGGTTAGCAGACAGGTGAACCATTGGCTAAATCCCATTTTTAACCGTTACAAAGTTGTAAACTAACCTGATCCGGCGCGTATGACCAAATGTTGGGGGTGGCACTTTCCTGAGATTTGTCAAATCCAGTTCGTGGGCCCAAAATATACTGATCTCACTCGGAAAAATAATTAGGAATGCCAGACACGAGTATATGGGGGAACTTTCTACTATTCGAAGGACCAATGTGTGTGTGGCGCCAGTGTTTGGTGCGTATCGTTGAGAGCAGTTGCAGGAGTAAATAAAATCTGCCAATTTCGTATGTGCCTGCCTAACTTGCACTGGTGACACGTTTATTTTGCCACTTTTTCCAATTGGCCTGGGCAGTTGGTTCTTTGAAATGGGCTGAGTAGCGTAATTCTAATTGTTCCTGTAATTCTAACTGTTTTGATTTGAGGGTGAAGAATTACGGGTTGGGGCTTTGAGACACTTCTCTTCCAGAGTCTACGATGTGTACTGTTTTACTTGAGGCGAAAACAGTCCCGATGTGTACGACTTGAGGTGAAGCGAAAAACTGTGTTCTCTGGTCACTTTTGTCGACTGAGGTTGGGAGGAAATCAGAAGTGCACGGTGAGGAAAATAGGGTATTTCCCACGCTCTGTGCTCGGATCTGTTGGGTGGTCGCTCCAAGGACTCAAACTTTCAATAGTAAAAAGACTAGCCGAGCACAGTTGTGTGTTTTGCTCAATAGTCAATGGTTGCCCTTCTGATTTCACAATGCCCTTTGTAGTAGCCATTAAGTATATCTAGTACTGCATTCTGTTAAGTGAACTTCTTGGAAACGAAAATAATCACCAATTGCTTCAAGGTTTTCACGCTTGCCTTGCAATTCGAGCAGTGGTACTGAGATTCCCAATTATGGCTCGACAGACACGGCCGATTTGGGACTTTCCCGGAAATCGGTAACAAGGGCGCACCGTTTCAGGAATTCAGCATTGAAACGTAACTTGGACAATAACTGTATCAATTGTTTAAATGTTATTTGAACAGGTACGCATTTCCGAACAAACGTCAGAAGACATCGAATTTAGAAGAGGAGTTGTGAAGCAGGTCTGCAAGCAGAATCAGGGGTGTGTACTGTCCCCGCAGCTTTTCAACGCTTACTCTAAAGAGATCGTGAAAAAAGCGCTTCAGGGAGAAATAGCTGGTATAAGGGTCGATTGAACTCCYATTAGCAGCATCAGAGACGMGRACTATCGTCCSCGTCTCTGATTATCCGGTTATATTAGCAGACCTTCAGAGACTAATGAATAAAATAGTTGAATATGGCCAGGRATATGGGCTAATAATAAACGATGAAAAACGAAATTTATGAAGATAATAAAAAATCAGAAAARTAATGAGATTTTCACAATTAACAACAGGACTCTTGAACAGSTGGAAAACTACACATATCTAGGTACCAGGATYAGCTCTACCAARAACGACTTTCAAGAATTTAAAATGCACATAGAAAAGACAGRGACAAACGTTAATAGTCTGAGATGAGTACAAGGGATTTGAAGCTGCATCTGAGAATGCAGGYATCTGAAACAGCAAGGTGCTTTGTCTTTTCGACTTTGCTTGGTGGAATAGMGGCTAGGAGCCTGAACRCAGGAACTGTAAAGAAGCTAGAATCCGTTGAGATGTGGGTGTATAGAAAAATATTAAAAATAAACGGAACGGAACACGTGACAAACCACRAAGTCATTAGGAGAATGAGAAAGGAGCCGGAGATCGTGAAAACCATCAGGACTAGAAAGCTGCAATACCTAGGATAGGTTATACGGGGAGAGAGATATACTATGCTGCAATTGATTATATATGGTAAAATCCAAGAAAAACAAGTTTAGGAAGGAGAAGAATATTGTAACGGAAATGGCCTGGGGTACTCACGTTTGAAATGGAGGGATCAAAATTCATGGTATTTCAGTGAATTGGGGAGCCCCATTTGTGCCCCATTTACTGTCAAATATGACACTGACAAGAGGGAAGTTTCCCACCTGTTCTGGAGATTTCGAGAACCATCTGGGTTACCTGGAGGAAAMTATATAAGCGATGACGAGAACCAGACAGGGGAGAGTGAAGTAACAGGACCGACCGGGTGCAGAAGAGGTTAMAYCCCGCGAGTAGGAAGAGCAAGTTTTCCGTCTGTTATTGTTATTGTTTGTGAAGTTGACGGTAATTTTGAAGTTAGTTTGTTCCTGTTCCGCATTGWAAGTGATACCRAGTTGAATAAAAGTTGGAAGCTGAAGAAAGAGTTTGATACGCGGCCATCCACGATACAATATCATTACATTAATGTCAGTTCAGCAATATTCAGCTGTTATTTGCGTTATCGGTCAAATTTGGGAATACGTTACAATGTGTTTCACTTTTTTCATCAATTCTTCACTTAATCAGGAAATTCCCTTTGCCTTTGTAAACAACAAACCAGGAAAGATAGGAATATCATAACATTATGCATAATTAAAAACCGTTAAAACTGATTACCGCCGTTGCTAGTTTGATGTTGCTCCGCAGCTTTTCTTCACAATTTTTGCTTTGCCGTGTTTCACAGTATGGTTTTTCAGTAATTTTAAGAAAGCACTCTGTATATATTAGCACTTCAATAATTTGATTTATTGATTCATTATTCATTATTCATTATTATTTACTACAAGTTTGAAAATATAGGTAAAATTTTATAATCAAATAATCCTTACTTCAACTTTATTAACAACATTCTACAACTTAACGTATTACGTAAATGTCAATTTATTTCAACGAACATGAAGGAGCCATGTTGTGATGCTCCAAAGTTTCTCGGTACATCACACATCAACACAATATATTGCTACTTTTCAATTAAATGGGGAAGATATAATATTTAAACCAAGTTCATTAAAAGCTTCTTAACACTAAAAGTCTAATAACGTATCAGTTACTCAGGTATGTTTTCGCCCTTCCAAATTTAACTTTTCAATAACACGAAGTTTTCAACTGGGAATATTATATAATATTCATGTAATATTGTGCGCAAACATACGCGTTATAATTAATTTTCTTTCACAATTTACCCTTACTTCCCATTTCAAGGAAGACATATTAAATAGTATGTCGTATCCAAACACGGAATGCAATAAATTGATAGAAGGAGCAAGAGTCGAAGTTGGAAAAATTGATATATCCAAGATGTGACTAATGTGCTAGTGCAAGGTAAATGTTTGCTTTAATAAATGTTCAGCTGGCGCGGTCGACAGTCATCTTCAGAGGGCAAACTTTTGCGGGATATTCTTTATTTTCTTTTGTTATGTTCGCGTGGTGTTAAAGAGTTTCAGCAAGCAATCGAACATTAATTTTTTTCAGTGTTCATAAGTGTAATTGAATCACGCAAATTGATTTTCTGGGTTGTAAATATGTTTCCATTTTTGATGACTACTTCTTCCCACATTTTGAGATCATAATACTTTTCTGCCGGCATCTCAATATTTCAGTTCTTTCTTGATTAGGAATATACAGTGTTTACCGACACTAAAGTGTTAAATTTTTAAACAAACTGTACAACTCGAACAATCGCCCGATTGATCGAACAATCGCCCGAATCAATCGGATTCAAGCTAGCTATTATACAAATTGATTCGAAATTGGCGGCATTCCAATATGGGTGTTATCCGATAGTGTTTAAGGAGTGCAGGCAAAATAATTTTTAAAAAATCAATTCTTATCAAAAACTGAGATATTTGCAACAATGGCTCTGCTGGAGTTCTCTCCAATACCTGTTCTCTTATGTCTGGATGTCGTACACCTCTTGGTCGTTTACTATCTTTCTCAATTACCATAGCCAATCGTCCAGTGTCATTTGTCTTTTGTTGGCGAGAATTCTTACAGTTTCCATTATTTTACTGTGGGATTCCCCCATATCAAATAGCATTTCCGCCATTGGACATTTGTGTATATTTCATAAAATAAGCTCAAAACTAAGTCACAATTTGACAAATGTTTGTTATTCCTGACACAAGCTATCTACCCGTAATTATTTGTTAGTGACAAAAACGATCGTTGCTCTTTTGAATTTTTATCAAAAATTTCTAAGACACACTTTTCTAAAACAAAACTTTTTACAAAGATGGTAGTTTACCTCTTAGTCTCCAAAATGTCTACCAAACAACCATTGGACCATTTAAAAACAAAACTTAATAACAAAGTTCAAATTCAAAAAAAGAAAATTCAATATTTTTCCCGGACTCTCTAGGGGAGCTTCTTGAAATTTTCGTGTGTTCCCTTATGGCAACTTGGAAGAAATTATTCCAATTTTGAATCACCCTGCATATAATCATAGTGTCGCTCAACTTCCGAAATTGTTTATACTGACATCGTTCAAAAGACAGCGTTATTTTGCTTTGTGGAAGTGTTCGTTAGCGAAGTCTTAAAATCATGAATATTAACAGCATTAGGAAATATGTTTGCATTATCACACGTAATTTATCTGGTCTCTTTCTGCTCAACCAACTTCATCTAGGATATCTGAGTTCAAATATTTCCTTAAATTCTGTATAATCTCCGTTCCTTCTTCAATATTCTTCTGGACATAGCACTTTTTGTATGTTTTCCATTCAAATCATTGTATACCGATTTGGGGCTAATTGTTCGACAATATTCAGATATGCAAATGTTGGTAGCGAGTGTGATTTTTAACATCACACAGAAGACTACTTTGTAAGAAACTTGCTGTAAGAAAGGCGGCAACACCCCCGCAAAATCCATAATCTGGGGCGAGGATTATGCTGCCAATTATGGAAACTTGAGCACTATTATGTTGGTACTTTAGCACTATTAGGCCCCGTACATCCCACAGTTGTTTTGTGTGAGTTTGCTTCCAATCCTGATCCATCAGGAGACAATTGTATTTTATTGCAATGTGCATAGTTGGTTTAATTTTGTCGTTTAAATAGCTTGTAGTCATATTTTCAGAACCTTGCGCTAGGAACCTGGTAGTGTTCTATTTGGACATTGGCCAATGCCAGGCCATCTTGTCCCTATGCAGGTCAGGATATCTATAGAAATTATCTTCATTTTGTGTAATAATAATAATAGTGGATATTTACAGATTGAAACATGATCTGTAAATTTCAGGTACTTTTGTTTTGGTAGCTTGATTGAATTTCCACSTCTTATATTGGTGCCTCTGAAAACTGTTTCCGGAACATTTTGCTTTGCGACATGCCTTATTARCATTACTAGGAATACTCGACTGAGTCTATTGCAGTGGTTTTCCGTGGACCTCTGCATCCTCATGCCATTGACCATTGTTGGTTTCTCTGCATTTAGGCACTATTTCTCATGCCAAGGAAAATAAGGCGGCGTTAGGCAAGGATGTATTTTATCGCCATTACTATTCAATGTCTGTTCGGAAAGAATATTTAGGAATRCAATATGTGAATGATTGGAGGKCATTATGCTAAATGGAGAACTCATAAACAATTTGCGACATRCGGATGACACGGTTCTKCTGGCTTYCCAATTAAAAKRATTTACAGTGTTTATTTGATAGKATCACAGCTGAATGTACAGTAGCAAGGCTCGATATTAACATCAAGAAAATGGAGGTTCTGGTAAGCAACTRAGCAAACAGCATGATATAACGACTACTGTGACGGTCGGAGGTGTGAGACTGTAGCAGGTGACACAGATMAAGTACCTCGGATGTCTGATAAACAACAATGGAGASAATCACACGGAAATCCGGGCAAGAATAGAGAACGGTCGCACAGCGTTTAACAAAAGGAGAATATTTATTKGCAGTAGAGATCTTAGRCTGCTTTTGGGGATCCGTTTGTTGCGATGTTATRTGTTTACAATGTTGCTTTACGACACGGAGGCTTGACCTATGAAAACCAATAAGATGTGGTGCCATAGGAGAATCCTAAAAGTATAATGGATGGATAAAATCCGAAATTTAGATATACCTAAACATCTTAATAAAAACACTAAAACGCTATGCATTATCATGCTGAGAAAATTAGAATACTTCAGTCATGTAATGAGGGGCGCGAAACACCGACTTCTGCAAAACAGCATGCAGGGTAAAATTGTTAGCAAGTGGGGTCCAAGTAGACGCAAAACATCACGGCTGAAGAATTTACGCGATTGGTGTGACGTAACCTCAAGCACATTCTTCAGGACTGCGGTGAGCAGGGTTGAGATGGCCGTGTGGGTGACCAAAGTACTCGGAGAAGCGGTGCATGAAGAAGAAGAAGTGGAATAAGTTATCCTTCTCTTGTTATCTCTTTCATCCGAAGCTGTTGGCTACCGAGAGGAAGTGCTTGTCCCGGCACTCATTTGGTCCCTTCCCATGTTAGCCGTAATATGCGAGGGTCCAGAATTTTCCATCATAGAAGTTAGGATTATGTGACATTTCCTAACCTTTCCAGAGCTTTATAGGGCGATTTTGGTAGACATCCCCAAAATCTTAATTGGAATCGTGACCCGGCTAACACCTCTTATGAAACGTCAATTGCTTCTCTTGGTGGCCATATCTAAATAGTTTAAATAATTTTATTTCTACGGTCCTCAATAGAATCGATGTTCTAAAATTTGCAAAATGTCCTACTAAGGTACCGCATCTTTACGTACGGGCCTTTTAAAATTCCTACTAAAAAATCTAATGAACACAAATCCGAATAAAACTAAGCAACTGTAATAAAACAATCAATGTTGTTATTTAAGTTTAAAGGGTAGTTTCAAAAGCATTGCATATTCTAATTATTGATTTTCCTCGTGTTTGGTAACAAGAAATAATACTAAAAACGGTTTGTGTTCCACAAGGAAGAATCGAAATCGGTTTAGTAATCTTTGCAAACCCTACTCAAAATTCGTCTCGAACAGCCGAAATGTTCCGTGAATGAGTAGAGAACCCAAATTAATTGTCAATTGTACTTATATGCCAAATGACC